CCATTCCCCCCCATTCTCCCCCAAATCCCCTCCTGAGGCCACGACACCCGAGTTTCTCCCTCCACAAACCCCTTCCTCAGGCTGGAGACCCCCATTGCCCCCCCAGATCCCCCCATTCCCCCCGCGTGCTCACCGAGCAGCAGCAGTTTCACCTCCTTGGCCGCTTTCTCGCCGTCCTCGCGGAGGTTCCTGTCGATCATTTTGCTCCGCTCCACCGCCGCCTTGTCCTCGGCGCTCAGCGTGCACCCCATGGCGGCGGGGGGGCCGCCGGGCCGGGAGCGGGGCCGGGATTTGGGATTTGGGGATTGGGGAGCGGGGTTTGGGATGAGGGCCCGGGCGGCTCCTCAGGCGGCGCCGGATTTCCTGTGCCGGGCGCGAGGCACGACGGGAAATGGAGTTCCGAGACGCGGCACCGCGGGGTGTGATGGGAAATGGAGTTCCCGGGATGGCAGGGAGAGGCACTCCCGCCTCGGTCCCGCGGGGAAACGAGGGCTTTGCTTCGGGGATTGGGATCAAGGATTGGGATCGGGAAAAGGGATCGCGATCAAAAGCGCGATCGGGGGCGGGGCCGGAGAGGCCTCGGCCCGGGCAGCTCCGGAGGCCATGACGGATTTCCTGTCCCGGGCGCGGGGCATGATGGGAAACGTAGTTCCAAGCATGAAAAGGAGAGACACTTCCTCCTCGGTCCCGTGGGGGAAACGAAGGCCCACTTCTGGGATTGGGATCAGGGATCGGGATTTGGGATCAAGGACCGGGGCAGGAGCTGCCTCGGCGCGGGCGGCTCTGGATTTCCAGTGTCGTGCGCGGGGCACGACGGGAAATGTAGTTCCTGGGGACGGGAGGTACAGCCACTTCCGCCTCGGTACCGCGGGGCATGATGGGAAACGGGGCGTTTCCGCCCCGGTGCCCGAGGCCTGCCGGGAGTTGTAGTCCCCGCGGGGCGCGTGGGAGCCCATGGCAGCCCCAGACCCCTCAGAGCCCCCAGACCCCTCAGAACCCCCCCGACCATCCCTCAGACCCCTCACAGCCCCCCAGACCCCTCAGACCCTCCCCCAGACCCCCCGTGGCGGCAGCAATGAGGACCCTGCCCCCCCTCAGGGAGCGCTGTGGGACCCCCAAACCCCCCCAGTGGGTGTGGGGACCCCCCCCCCCCCCCCCCCCCCCCCTCTCCCCCCCCCCCCCCCCCCCCCCCCCCCCCCCCCCCCCCCCCCCCCC